ATCACGTTTATGTGTATCCCCCGTCCCTTAAAATCGGTGCGTTGCTCTGTTATTTCGTGAAAATATCCAGCAAACTTCTGTCGAAATGTCTTTAAATCTCTTCGCGAAGCATCTAGAAATTACAATTGTAAAACGATTTTACTGTTTAACATCAGCGCTCTCAATCGGTTCGAAACTTCAGAACTTAACGGACGTGATCCGAATTCAAAAACAGCAAAATTGTCTTTAAAACGAGAAGTTAAAAATTAAACTTGTTAATGGAACATTTGTTCGACATTGTGATCTCTGTGCGAATTATAGTAGTTTTACGTTGCTTTTTTTTATGTTACGAGACGTAAACTAACTACCGCACAATCAGTAAAATAAAAACAAAACTAGCCATCGATAAACGCGCGTGGAAATATAAATAGAAAAAATAAAAATAATCTAACGCATCAGAGACGTTTCGATCTTTTAACTTTATTTAGGTCATTCTCAGTTTAATTGTTTGTGTAACTCGTGACAATATGAATAATTTAATTTTACTAACATACATATATATTTTATTCACACATGAATTGTCGATTTGTATATAGCTTAACGAATTTCCTAGGATATGGTAATTATTCATGCGAATAAAACGCAGCAAAGTTAAATAATTGGATTACTGATTTTAAAACCGGGTATTGCGCTACATGCTGATTGTGAGTTAACGTGTAACAGCATTAATTGAATTGATTTACACGCTTTATGATATTTTATTTTGTACGTGTTCGCAAACTAAAGCCGTACGACAACGGTGATTGCAATTGTAAAACTCTCTTTTTGTCGTAAACCGATCAATCGATACGCGATATTAATCATAGACGTACGTACAATCTTCGTCACGCGCGTGACAAGAGTTTCTCAACTCCCAAATAATCAAACCACGCTCAAAACCCCGAACTGAGCGCTATTGGTCCTTTAAGCATCTCTCTACGTGATGCCCGAATCACTGTTAGATTTCTCTAAGTAAGTTAATACATGTCAAGTCGTAAATCTTCTGTCGTCGTCTGTGATTCCGTAGGATCTTGTTATCAAACTTGTCCGATGAGCTTTCCTTTTACGACGTGGAGTTACGGTCGAACTTGTTTTAACAAACGCACGATCACATTACAATCACAGTAACCATGAAACCGAAGTTCACGCAGTGTTCTAGTCACTCGAGATTTTTGGACGATTTTTTTTTTTTTTTTTTTTTGTTCGATCGAAATTACTCGTTAGAGCAAATCTTTCGAAAAACAATTCGGTTACTGTTTTTGTCGCTTCTGACAATCACACATGTCAACCGAGTGTTGACACTAGTATGTTTCGAAATCGAATATTAACCCTTCGTAAACAGAAACACAAAAACTAGTTGGGTAAACTGGGTCTGTGAGACCCACGCGACTTTAAAATCAAATATCTCCGCGAAAAGTCAATATTTTTTCAATTTTGTTTTTTTCGAATCAAAAGTTTGAGTGATTCTGCATCGGTCGAAAAAAAAAATTAGGAAAAATCTCTAATATTTTCGAAGATATAAGCGCGTTTAAAAGAAACTAATTTCTACCAAAGATATCGGTTTCGGAAGTTTTTTGGTCTGGAAGACCTAGCTTGTCCACAAAGGATTAATATTGTTGTAGACATAATATTAGAAATAACAAAAAAAAAATCTCTTTATAAAAATATCAAACTAAAATATAAATTAAATTTTGAATTAAAAAGAAAAAGATTGACTTTAGAAAAAACTCCTTAGAAATTAATTATTATTTGTAAATCTACAAATTGCGAGCTTTCCTGTCTAAGATAAGAGCACTTAGAATTCAAGATACCAGTGTTTAAAGGGTTAAAATGCAGCGAAAAATTAAATAGCGTCGGACGTCATTGTATATAACTTTATTTAATCGGACGGCGTATTTATCCTGTCTCAATTTACTTCTGGCTGGCTACCGAGCTCGGCACGAGTGTCTCATCGTTGTAAACAATTCGCTTCTCCTCTTTACCTCTATTTTACTTTAATTTTCAGTCGCTGCGTTCTACGATGCAGCAGAAACGTCCTCCTTTCGGCCGACAGCACACGTCCAGGCGGTCGAAAACTTAAAACTCGCGAAACTTTCGCTGCTCGGCAATGAAGTTTTCCGCGGATCCGTGAACGAAACTTCATCATTACACTCGAAATCCGCCGGGATTATTGCCGCTGCTTGGCCGTGACAGCCCACCAACGGATTTCTTCCGTAACTTTGTGCGCGCGGCGAGACTACGACTTCACTTGAAAACCGCCGGATTTAATGCCCGGCGGAGTATGGAAAAAGTGCAAAAAAGAAAAAAGTGAGCGAACAATTAGTATCAACGTGATACAAAATCTCAATTTTAAAGTGTCTCGTAAAAAAACGACAAAGTCGAGATATCAAGATTGTTGCGGACTTTTTACAAAGATAACGTAGAAATACGATGAACGAAGAAAAATTGTAACAAAATATTACGAAAGAGTTCTTCTTTACATACTGTTATTATATGTGATACATATTGTGCATATCTACACACAAAGTGCAAAAAAAAATATTATTTTTACTTTGAGTGGATCTCTTGAGACATGTAAACAAATGTTCAAGTAACTCATTCGTCACGTGTTACTTGTTGCGAAAGTACTTCTGTTAAGTATTTGACTTTTTATAATTGTTATTTTGATTTTAGATGTAATATAAAAATAAAATAACATAAAATAATCAAAAGGAACAGTAATGTATCGCACCAAGTTCGCGCGAGGCCGGACGTGACTCACTTATGCGAATCGGATAGTTCAGCAAAGTTAAAAGATTTTCATATCTCAACAATGCCTGAACCGATTGACTTTGGTCTCAATTGACCGAGCTAAAAAAAAAAATAAAAACAAAAAAAAGAAATATTTCGATGTAAAATTCTGAATGCGGAAAAATTATTCACAAAGATCGTAGAGGTAGACATGTCAGTGGAAAAGAAAATGTACTTTTCACGTTATTTTTACTAGATGGCTGTACTAACGCGCTGTTCTACTTATTATCTTGCATTTTATTAGGGTTTATAAGATTGAACGTGCTGAAGTATTGTGAAACTAAGACGACAACGTATATGAGTTACCTGTATCAAAATAATAAGTATTCTTATAAAAATAATATAAGTAAAAGAACCACAGAAGATATCTGCTTATAAATTAAATAATACTGTTTATCTCATTCCACATTCTTGATTGCAAACATTCTATTTAAAGTATCACCTGATGATATAAGTCTTATTTTGTAAAACTTAGTTAACTTAAACTAGAATTCTATTGATACACGCGATACGATGATAAAACAAAATTAATATTGTCGTGCAAATGCGCAAAATTGTGTTTGTGATAAGTTACAGTCACTTTCATATTTTTGTTTTAAACATTTCCTTATTTACGTCGTTGCTTACGTCATACACGGAAAAAAAAAGTTTTGCTATTATATGGTTAGCAAGAAAAATGGTTGACTCTACGAAATTTTTTGTTTCATCAACGAAATGTTTTGTTGGCAAAATAAAACTTTTAATAAACTTAACAAATGTTTTTTTGCTGGCCATATATTAACTAATTTCTTGCTATTTTAGCAAATCTTTTTTTTCCGTGTAAGAGTTACAAAGAAAAACATGTTTTTAAGTAAGCAAAGGAAATATTTTTTTATTATTTAATTATACAAGAGAAATACACAATAATGCCAGTAACAGATAACCACTGGATGCAAATGCGAAATGTTTTGTAGCGCGTATTTAATACACATAATTCAAATTAAATTCAATTCGAAAATCTACATCCAATGCTTGCTTTCCATTTCATATATAGAAAAAATCTTCTTTATCTTCGTTACTTGTGAAAAACGTGTTTTTGGCACCAGGTGATTGAAATTCAGTTTTTACAATTTACAAGTAATGAAGAGTTTAGGTACTATATACCTGATATAGGTAATAACTAAAATAATTGTACGTATATATGTATATATGTTCAGGAAACCACAAAACATAATATTCATATGCAGATATACACAGTTTGTCCGGAAAGTTCCCGGACTGATTTTTTCTAGCGCGGGTAAGCGGCGCTATCGAGCGGTCAACGCTGGAACTACTTAGTA